TTGCGCTCTAAGCGGTAAGTTTTCTATCGCTGTGTGCTCCCTGTACTAACCTGTTGTTGCGAAACATGGATCCAAACCTACAGGCCAATCATCTTATTGCAGAGCGCAATGCAGCGATGAAAGATTACCCGGAAGAGCAAGAAACGATGGGAAGATGAAGAAATAAATAAGAACACAAATGAGTTTGCAACATCATTTCGTTAATGAAGAAGTTAAAGTGCCAATGAACAGGACAGGTTGCAAGAAGAACAAAAGAGTTTGACCAGAGACAGTATAATGGATTCCAAGAGAGAATAAACCATCCTTAGTAAAACCTGCAGGTCGATCGCAGAATGAACTGAAGTAGTTTGCTGGATCAAGGTGGATGAAAATACAGAAAACAGATATGTCTGAGATTCCTTCATTCAGCAGTGGATCGACAAACTCTGATGACTATGAAAAGAGGCATGGGTAACAAATGTCAGACGATCAGCGTTGTGAATCCAGCACGGTTAAGCTAAAAATTGAACGTGGAGTTTGACCAATTTAAATATTTCGGCTCCGTCATTTCCGGCCATTGCTCCGTCCACCAAGAGTTAAATTGTATGATTGTAGAACAGGTCCAATATTTTGGCTGAAAAAGGAGTATGTCTTTCCACGAAAATGTGCTTGAACGTTGCCTGCGTTAGGTCAGTGTTGTTTTTCGGCATGGAAACATGTGTTCGAACGAAGGAGCAATACGACGGTTATAACCCGTAGTGCAACTTTGGCTTCGACGCATATTAAGGGATAAATGGCAGCAACACAGGAAATGATTCTTTTCTCCTCTTGGCACAGATGACCTCGGTATATGCAGAGATTAAGAAAAGGGGGTTAGCCCTCTCAGACTAACTGGTTGAATAGAAATCATTTTCTCCAGCATGTAAGTTTCTCCGTGAGAGCTGAAATTCAGCAGATGTTGGCCAGGAAGCCACAACGCAACCTGGAAAAATAAGGTAGAGACAGATACGTTTCCAGAGATGAATATTTCTGCGATACAGTAACTGCTGCCTGAAGGCAAAAGTGTTACAAAACTGCCGTGCATCACAAATCAGATAAGTTGGCAAATGATGATCATAGAAAACAACTGGGCATCAAACAATAGTCTGTTTGACATAGAATAACAATGTCAATAGGCAGAATTTTGCAATCATCTTCCATGAAATGCCAATTGCAGTTCCTTGGCACGAAATGTACGGATTTCGCTAACTACTTCGCAACCAGTGGCCAGTGTGGTTTACTGTATGTAGAAATGTACATTCGTCATCAAATGGATGACACCTCTCTCGGTAGAAACACCGATGTTCAAGATATTAAACGGTGCTCATGATGTGACTCACACAAATTCCCGGAAACGGCTTCTCGCCCATCGTAAAATGTCTGCCTGCAGCCCTCTGTCAGTCCGTTCTCTCTGCACTCGTGGGACATCCTCTTGCTCTGTATCGGCAAAGTCTTGATGCCTTATACTTCTTGACTTTGCACGACAAGCTGACACTTTTTAGGGGTGAGATTCACGCCACTGTCTGGAAGATGTTCTAACCTGGACATGGAACTTCGACGCTGTCAATTTGCAATTTGACAATTTGTGGTGAGATAATACCACAATGACGAACTCCGGCATTCAAATTTTGCTAGCCTTGCAACTGCATCCTCACTGGGACTACGGGATATACACGCTAATCATATAACGCAATTAAGATTATCAAATACTATGAAGTGCAACTTCCAGCGCCACTACTAATTTCGACGGTATTCATGGTATTAGCCAAGAATGAAAGCTCCGTAATAAACAGTTCTCAAAATTTCTCAATCAGTTCTAAAGGACTACTTTCCCGTTGCCTAGGAAATTCTGATTCATACACTTTGGCAGCGGGAACAGCATCCGTTCATCACAGCTACATTTGCGGAAACTTCGAGGGTCGTTGCAATTTGACGCGTTTTCCAGGTAACCGTTGAAGATTTTAAACGGTCTGTGAGTGCGATGAAAATTCGCCACTTACGGAATAAATGGAGCAGAAGCAATGACTCACGCAGTCTGAGGGATCTTGAAATTAAGAGGAAAAACGAAAAGTTACTCAGGTGATTCAAAATCGCTCCTAATAAAGTTTTTTGCCCGTAAGTGAAGGAGCCTTGTTTTTTATGCGTTGGTCGTATGAATGTTCATCCTGAACTAGAATACTGTCTACGTGAGCCTTAATCCGAGCAAGGCGTTTGACGTCAAGCCCGGCTGTTGATGTTTTCACCGTCATCTCGGGCATCGGGATCAAAGACAGAGAACCCACGTTAGTGAAGTCTAAAGCTTTGGTTTCTCAGAACGTTTTGGTGATGTTGGTTGCTGCGGCAAGTATTCCTCGTCGAAAGCAAGTCCGCCTCTGGCAGCCGCTTTAAGGTGCGATGTTGGCCTCGGCCATATTTTTTGCTTTCCAGAGGAGAAAGGTTCTGGAAAGTTTTCCATCCTCCCTTCGGATGGTTCTATCAAACCACAACAGACACCGAGTTTTTCATGGCGCTTTATAACGGTTGATGTTTCAATGCCACACATCAGAATTGAGAAGACAGCGATTTTCAATATGCGGATTTTTGCTGCTGTCCAGATAGATCGATCTTGCAACGCTTAAAAATGTCACCGAATTT